ATCGAACCTAAAATCGATACATTACAGTCTCAAATATATCAATAATTTCATTTTCCTTTCTTGTCATTTACTTAATTTTTTTTTATCTAGAATTAGTGAAGTTTAAAGTATTTTTATTTATTTATATATTAAAGTTACAATTTCAGAAAGAAATCTCGGTGAAATCTCGAGTTTCACGCTATTCACTAAAACATTTTAAATCTTTCAAGTACATTGAACTTTTGGCTCGATTTATGAATGGATTTCACTTTTTTAAACGGTGATCAGCGGTGCCTCATCTAGTTAACTTTTATACAATAATTTGGTTACCGGGAATTTGATCGAAAGAAATTTCGTCGACGGTAAATTGATCGACGGAAAATTGATCACCGGCTCATACCAGGAAGAAGCCAGTATAGGAACTGCTCATTCCTGCCCAACTAGGACAAGCTTTCAAAAGAAACAGTTGAGGCGACAACACTAGGCACATTTGCGTCTATTGCCTCAAGCCTTCCAACCCCCATTGCATGATTCCTTCACAAGGTAACTCTTGTAATCATTGAAATATCCTCATCAGCACCAGGCACAGAAACATTGCAAATCCCCTCTACATGCATAGGAGCACTCCAACCTGGGGATTTATTTTATTTTGTTAAATTGTGAATTCTGTGAATAAAAATAGTGGTGAAATCCATCGAACCTTCCTTATGTTTCTATATAAATAATTATCGTAATAATTAGTAAAAACCCTGGAGGCATAAAAAATAAGTGCTGAAAGGAGAAGACCCTACAAATCATCTACCACCTAATGCACTGTACTTTGGCTCAGCGGCCCCCTTCCACCGCCCCTGCGCCCCCCCCCCCACATGCACCACCCAAACATATTTTTTCTTCTCTTGCAGGTTGGATCGTAATAATTAGTAAAAACCCTGGAGGCATAAAAAATAAGTGCTGAAAGGAGAAGACCCTACAACTCATCTACCACCTAATGCCCTGTACTTTGGCTCAGCGGCCCCCTTCCCCCGCCCCTGCGCCCCCCCCCCCACATGCACCACCCAAACATATTTTTTCTTCTCTTGCAGGTTGGTAGGTCTGACTAAAGGTCCATTTTGTGATCATTCAGGGTCCTATGCATGTATAGGAATTGCAATGTTCCTGTGCCTGGTGTTGAAGAGGATACTTCACTGGTTGCAAGGGCTGATCGGTTCCAGTGAAATACCTACGTCCGGCCTGTGGCAAGTTAAGAACGTCCTGCCCTGTATCCAGTTATCCAGTTACCAATGCCCTGTCCTGATGCAGCAAACCACCTGCGCACTGTGCAGTACTAAGCTGCATATGAACCCGTCTAGCGTCAGCGAGTGTCTTCGTCGCGTCCAGTGTCCAGTCAGCTGTCAACAATCCTGTGGTCCTGTCCGGTCATCCACTGCGTCCCGTGATTTGCCCGAGTTTATATTTAAAACTGGTTTGTTTCAAAGGGATCACCACGAAGTTATTTCCTTTGCCGTGTTTTGTCCTAAAAAACTTGGCACGTAACTTTGAAATGATTAGATTTTGTGTTTTCATTTGCAGAAACATGAACAAAACCGTTCTGTCCTCTATAAGTGTCCTGGTTAACCCATTGGTTTTAACTAATAAAACATAATCTCAACAACTTAGTGGTAACAATTCATAACAGAAAAAAACGTTGTCATTTGTATGTTGTTGTTTTTTTTTTGTGTTGTTTTGTTGTTGTTGTTGTTGTTGTCGCATTCAAAGCATAAAGATATATTATGTTCATAATGTAAAAATCGGTCGACGGCTCTCTTGAAGTTATTTCCAATCCAGTGGGATCCACATTTAAGTCAAGAATAATCCGATCGCATATTTTAATCCTTCATGCAATCAACAGAGTGAACATTTTTTTACGGACTTAAATTATTGGCTTATGAAATTATTTTTTTTCCATTAGTCAGGGCAATTGTCAAATATTGTTTGTCTACATACCACCTCACCTGGCATGCAGAGAAGAATAATGCTGTAGAAACGGTATAACTGCAATAGATCTTACCATGCAACGAATGAGGAACCTTGAATCCAAAGTCAGTAATTTTACACTATATCGTTTATCGGCAAGGAAATGCTTTATGTTTTAACATAAATGATTTTTAATGCATTGCTTTTTCTCTACATTAGTTTAAGCAAAAATAATAATATATCCATACCGATCTACCACATTGGTTACAAATAAATAGAAATAAAAATGTTTCATCTATATCTGGTCCATTCTGAAAACAGAAGGATAGATAACAGCAGCTTAGCCCCATGGCTTTGAGCTCTGGTGAGTAAACCAGCTTAGCCCCATGGCTTTGAGCTCTGGTGAGAAAACCAGCTTAGCCCCATGGCTTTGAGCTCTGGTGAGAAAAGCATGAACCAATATACATGTCAAGGCCAACACCTCGTGAGGGATCCAACTACATTTCGGTTTGCGAAACAAGGATCACTCTAGTATTAGTTGGGCAATGCACAGGTAACCATAGCCTTGCGAGGTAGGATTTTTCAACAGTTGTTAACATTAGAACAAAGAAACGAGAGATCCTGAGGATATTTAAAAGAGGAGATGCGAGCGGCTTTTTTATTTATTCGAAACAAAATTGCTGAAATTTGTAGAGATCACCAAGTTCATGTATGGTATTAAATTTGAGATAATGTTTGTTAAAATTATATTTCAATTTTAATTAAATTTTAATTCGATATATTTTTGCATTAGTCAAATTGGTATTGTGATATTTTATAACAGTGACACTTGTAAGCAGGGCGGCCCTTAAAACTTTTTCGCGAAACACTGATACTACATAAGCTTTAAATCAGGGGTGGCCAGACTTTTTGTAAATAAAGGGCGAAATAGTTTTATGAAATTAACATAATACAGTATTGTAAATTTCAGAGTTTAGTTTTCCTTGACTTCAAAAAAATTTGAGAACCACTGCTATAAGATAATGGACAGACCCGGGGGGGGGGGGGTAAAAGACTGCAAACCATTACGAAAGTTAAAGAAACGGTAATTCAATTCGAGACCTCTTGTTTCCTGAGGACTGAGCCCTTAATACAATCTTGGAACTGATAATGCAGTAAATACTTGCTAGCTTTGCTAAGACCTTCGACAACTTCAGCCTCGCCATCATTTGAAAGGTACGGAGATCTTGTATCAGCCAGATCAAGGAAGAGCTTACAAAGAAACTAAAAATTCAGCGAAGGGAGAAAATCACCATTCAGTGGGGGGGGGGGGGGGGGGGCAATCACATATTTGTTCAGCAGCATCTTCAGGTCAGTAATAATAGATGATGAGATCAACCACCAAATTGGAAGGTTCTGCAAGAGTGTTTGGTAGCGAGTGGGTCTCAGTCTTGTCACAAAGGTGAAAGTACATTGGCCTTCGGATTAAAAATCTCCCCTATAGGCTAGCGAGATGTGCACAGTGTACTGCAGACATGCTAGACAGCTAAACCTCTCAACTTACGCGGTCTACGTAAACCTCTCAATAAAAGGTGTCAAGAAAAAGTACCCGATAAAGAAGTCCTACAACGGGTTAACTTCTTCAGCATTCACGTGCTTTTCATAAAGGACATGGCAGACAGCAGACTTCCAAAAACAACTTACGTTCAGAGAAGTCTCCAGAGGGTGCGCTCGGGTTTTGGGCAGAAGAAACACTTCAAATACTGTATCAATCCTTCACTGGAATCCATCGACATTGGCGTTTATTCCTGGGAAACACTCGCAAGAGATCCTAGAAGCTGGCGAGACAGACTCCTTATTGGAGCACAATCCTCAGACAATAAGGGCTCAGCTCACGCACAAAGAACGAACATGTTACGGGTAAAGCAGAGTGATCTAAAAATCTAACTAGGACACAAAACAATGCGTTTCCTACATGCGGAAAATCTTTCCAAGCACAAATAGGACTGGCAAGCCACTTGATTGCTCACCGTTGAACATAGCTTTGGTCACCTTCGCATGCAAAGAACTAACAACAACATACTAACACTCCACTACACAACTTAACTCACATATTCTCAGACTTATGTCTATGAATCAGGACCCCGCTAATGGCTGGAGGGGTGACTTCTTCACGACTGTAAATTTCCAGATTTATGAATGATATGATTCACGAATGCGATCCGTGTTTTGATGAGAAGCTTTGCAAAGCAAACCGTGATGTCATCAACACTTCTTTATCCTACATGAAGACCTTGGTGCTGTAAGCTCACAGCACCTCGCAAAGTCCACAGATTAGAAGTATTGTTAATTGCTGCAGGTAAAGACGTTTGACAATTAGATTAGATGCATGTGGACTCTCCATATGCTTGACAGTTAGATTAGATGTCTGTGGACGCTCCACATGTTTGAAGTTAGATTGGATGTCTGTTGAACCCCCCCCCCAATACATCTGAGGCAATATTATATTAAATCAGTTTGATGACTATCTCGTTCTCCAATATGATAATAATAAATATTTTAAATTTTGAACAAACTCTTGATAAAGACTTCCCAGCGCCCCCTTTGCGGGTCTCAGCGCCCCCTTTGCTGGTCCCAGCGCCCCCTTTGCGGTCCAAGCGCCCCCTTTGCGGGTCCCAGCGTCCCCTTTGTGGGTCAAAGCGCCCCATTTGCGGTCCTAGCGCCCCCTACCATATCTTAATCCACTGAGAACAAATCTGTTTTATTCGTTAGCTTCAAAGAGTTGGTGTTGTTGGTTTAAGATAAGCGCTGCACATTGAAGCAAACGGCTTAAATGGATTCTCGTTATCAGTTAATAATCTTAGTTCGTTAGTTAGACATATTGATTGACTCTAAGGATTAGCCTTCAGATTAATGCCTTTTATATTTTTTTAATTAATTACACCTAAAGCTTTTGTTTTGCTGCCTAAAATTACATTGGTTATTTAGGAAGGGTGAGGGGGTGCTGGAGATGGAGAGTGGGATGGTGGTGGATACACAAGATCTGTTTACTTCCATTTGATTGGCGGTCGTCCTAGACGCACGAGTGAAGCGAGACTTATTTAAATGATTTACACCCCGGTAAAGGTCTAGATTATTTAACAGGAAGACTTGTCTCGCCGGCAAGAACATGATGATCTTGATGCTCCTGGGGGCGGTTCGTCTGGGACATGTGCAAAGTGGTCATCAGCTGCGTACGTGTTCACCTAAATTGTATCTTCCTATTTTAAAGTTTTAACACTAATGGCGTCATTATATTGTGTAGGTTATTATATAAGCATATTGTGTAGATTATTATATAATTATATTGGGTTGCAGTGTGTTCATCGTTCCATTGCAATGTGTATATTATTGTATAACTATATGAAGTAGTTGTGTCATAGCATATTGCAGCTATGTACATTAATGTTGTCATTATATAGTACAATTGTGCATATTAATGTTGTCATATAGTGCAGTTGTTTTCATTATCTTCATCATATTAATTATAAGAGAGTCGACTACGGCTTTGTTTTAAGTCAAAGGGTCTCTCATTCGCGGCCTGCAAGAAAATATTTTGCTGCCCGCTACATGAAGCACGTTTTCCCCATCTCATATCTATAATGTGACCCTCCATGGCGGTTTCAGTCGAATCTCGGCGACTACTCTTCTAATTCTGAATTTTATTATGTTTTTTTTAAATAAATTTAGACGTTGATTATAATGTAAAACCCGTTTTAAATAGGACTCAATTTTTTATTTTACAGCATTTTATAAAAAAAACATGGCCAAAGTGCGGTTTTGTGAAAAATTTAATAAGTAAATTTTTAAGGTAATAACCATAATTGTGTACATCGTAACAATCTAACACAGTATCGAAGAATCCCTATTAAATTGCCACTAGTATTAATGAGTGAGAGAAATTCCAAGCTTGACAGCTTGTTCACTTTCAAAATAAGGTTTTACCATTAAAAAAATGAAAATTCATTCTCCATACAAAAGCATCTTCCTTGGCATCAATAACTCATAAATATTGTCTGCTTTTGCTTACTGTTTGAACACGTTTTAGCATTTTAAGCCTTCATGTGAAGGATGTGGTGGTTGTTCCTGTACCAAGTGATCCCAAATGGATTATGGACTTTTTTTGTTGACATTGCACTAGAGCTGAATTCACTCAACAAGAAGTTACAAGACTAGCGGTGGCTTGTCAGTGTTGCCAAAGACAATGTCAGTGCATTCTGAACAAAACGTTTGTTATGGCTCTTAGAGAAACCTCTGCCATTTCCAAATATGCAATGCAAAGTAGGCTACTCATGGACTCGGGCACAACATTTAGTAGTAAGTCTACTGATGCCATTGCAAAGCTACAAGAAGAATTTGATCACATTTCTTTAGACTTCAACAGACACAGAGTGACTTTTCAACATTTTGCTGACACTTTCTCCTTTAATGTGGAAGATTACCCCACCGCCACCCCCACCTCTTTGTTTTTTATTGCGCTTCAGATGGAGCTGGTTGAGCTTCAGTGCAATTCTAAGTTCGGTGAGGGGAATAGAAAAACAGACAAGAATTTATAATTTATGAGAACATTGCCCTTCACCATCCCTGACATTTCCAGGATGTTCAAGCGGATCATATGACTTTTTGGGAATACCTGTATGCGTAAAAAGCTCTCTTACGCTATGAACTTTAACAAGTCGAATTTCAATACCAAAACTATGAATGAGCATCTTCAAGCTATACTGAGGGTCTCAGTTGCTTCCTCACAGAAACTAAATTTTGCTCAGCTGATTTAGAAGAAGCGCTGCCAGGTCTCTGGCAACAAGAAGTAGGAAGAAGAAATTGAAGCCTAGATTTTGAGAACCCTAAAGTTTTTTTTTTTTTTTTTTTTTTTTTTTTTTATTTAATTAAGTTGAAAAGTTTTAAAATATTTCTTTTGGGATCCCTAAATTTTTTTTTTTTTTTTTTTTTTTTTTTTTGTAATTAATGAAGGTTGAGAAGATTTAACAGTTGCACTTTGCATTTACCCTTCATTGAATTTGTAATCGCTCATTTATTTCCTTGTTTTGTTTTGTTGGTTTTGTGTCGATTTTTTTTGGCACTACAATCCTTTTACAAATAAAAAGTACCTATATTTAGCGATTATAAAATGCCGCACTTTTGATCTGCAGCTCCTCCTGAGGCCTGCCGTTACGAGAATGACACTTCTGCATGCGTGACGTGCAATCTTGTATGTGACCCGGTCAACACGCCGACCTGTCTACCTCCACCATGTGCACAACCACCTTCAAATTGTCATTATAAATTAGACGAAAATGGTTGTATGGCATGCGATCTTGTATGTGATGCCCCCCTGATGACTACATGCGCAACGCCACCACCACGAGCCCAACATCACGAGAATAGCCATCAAGAGCAAGACGAAAATGGGTGTATGGCATGCAATATTGTATGTGACGCCCCCATGATGACTACATGCCCAACCCCAGCACCATGTGCTCAACGCTCTGAGATTTGCCATCACGAGCCGAACGAACATGTACGTATGTCATGCAATCTGGCATGTGACGCCCCCGTTAGGATGTCATGCCCACCCGCACCATCATGTGCACCGCCAACCGAAAATTGCTACTACGAATTGGACGACAACGGTTGCTTGACATGCAATCTCGTGTGTGACCATTACAATTCGACAAACTGTGTCCCACAACCATGCGCCTAGCCACCCGACCATAGCCATTTGGTACATGGCGAACACGGGTGTTTGACATGGGAATACGTATGTGACGTCCTCACGAGTACGTGCCCACAGACACCACGGTGTGTTGGCCCGACAGATGTCTGTCACTACACCAACGATGAGAGCGGTGCCCGATATGCTCTCCTGAATGTGATCAGAATAACTAGCTGCCCGCATGTTCGTGATTCTTATTGTCTGTGTCGGTGAGGCTGTTGTTGTTTTGTTGTTTGTTTGTTTTAGTTAATCGGTGCATAATACAATAGCAAGGTCTCCCAGTAATACATTGAAAACGTTTTCTGAAAAGTGTTCATTCGTTTATTGCAACTTGATTTATATGTTTATTTAAATATTTTTATTACCAAAAATACTGCTACCTTTTTAATGCAAAATGAAATAACTGTGTTAAGTTGTTACGTGCAGCTATATGGTTTTGAAAATGTAATCGGTTTTAAGATTAGGTTCGTTCAATAAACAATATATAACAAAGGATTGAACTGTAGCATACAAAGAAGAACCATACCAAGTCTAGTAATACAAACAAAAAACTATATCAACCTACGGAACAGCTATTGGAAAGGTATGACCCTCGAAAGCTAAAAATATTAATTACGCAGACTATTATGTTATAGCCTATGTCTTGGACTAATGTTCCACTTCAACATAGGGCTTTTTATAGCAATTCCCTTTTGTCTCCACAAATATAGCCTGGAACAGCGTGCCTGTAGAGCTACTTCTAGCCACCAATACTTTTCTACACTTCGTAAGGCCTTGATATTGATGTAAACAAGTAAATATGCTATCTCATCCAATATCCACCCCTCCCTTGGTTGTGAAAACGTTGTTTGGGTTCGAATGTTCTCTACTGAGTTTTAAGGATGCCATTAAGTGACGCGATTTCTAGAATTTATGTACTAGAACTTTCTGATTAATCCCTATCTCTATATTGGCTGTCCAGTTTCTTAGAAGAGACAGCGATAATTGTGTAATAAATTGATATTTTTATTTTTTTTTAAAGTGAGCTCCGCTTGTTCGGGAAGGTGGACCTGGCTTCGAGAGTCTGTCCATATTGCCTGGACTGACGCCCGGCGTACTAGGAGTCGATGATGCAATTTAACTTACCATATAGGACACGTCGGGTGGTCGAGAAAAAGTTCTTAAAATCACTTGAAAAGACAAACTAAAACTAACGTGTCTTGACTACTTCCGGAATAAACAACCGCAATTCTCCACCACCACCTTCCCCACGCCACACCTTTCCCGGGGTCAAAACTTTGCCCACATCACACCTTTCCTATCGTCAAAACCTTCCCCATACCACATCTTACTCACACCACAGATTACCCACAGTGCACGTTTCCCCGCGGTCTAATCCTTCCCCATACCACACTTTTTCAACCACACATTCCCAACCCCCATCATGCTATCTTATTTCCAATCCAAAACTGACCTTTTTTCCTGACTCGCCGTAGCGTGTCGCCACGTGTACATCAATTAACCTCGAAATATCAGCTGAGCAGATGTGGTGCTCATGGTGCTTTGTGTCGATAAGTCGGGGTAACCATCTGGGTGGCCTGGGCTCATTTGTTGGTGCTCCCATTTTTGTATGCGATCATTTTTCATATTATACCTTGTTGGTGCACCCATTTTTCATGCCATTCCTTGTGTGTGCACTCATTTTTCATGTTATTATCTTTTGGAGCAATCATATAGAACATGCAAACCAAAAAGAAAGTAATCGCCTTCGATACATATTCGTCCTCTTACTTGTTTCATGTAACCGTACACTGCAAAAAGTGCTAGTGAACGCACTTTACACAGAGATAATGAACGCACTTTACACAGAGCTAGTAAACGCATTTTACACAGAGCAATTGAGCGCATTGCACACAAAGCTAGTGAACGCACTGTACACAGAGCTAGTGAACGCACTGCACACAGAGTTAATGAACGCACTGCACACAGAGTTAGTGAACGCACTTCAAAGTCGTATTCTTGTGTGAAGTTACTAAAAATAATTTAATGACGTCATTCTTTGGATTAGCCGTGAAGCCCTGTGTCGTAATTGGAGTGTCATGCTGACACCTTGAAAGGTAAAGCAACTCAGAACCGCTCACGACCAGAGGCACGTTCGGGCAAAAGAAACTTCTCGGTTAACTAGTTATTAGTTGACGTCATGCGCCAAGTTTTGGGCGGTACGTGACGTTTTGGCGCCGCCGTTTTGGCGCAGAGCCGTCTTGGCGCAGTTCATTATGGTGCACAGATGGCCTAAGCCATTATTTACCGTTCCTGCCTAATCATGCGTGCGCTTAACATTTCTAAAAGTGCAAGTGTGTTCTAGGCTAAAATCATAAGTTAAGTAGAGTTTCATAAATAGATCACATATTATAATTCTGTTAAACCAGTGAAATGGAAACTGTTACATCGAAGCGTGGTAAAGAAAAGTTGAATCACGAAGGATACTGTTATGTGTTCGATAAGTTTAGTCGCCAGCAGTTACCAGAATCATGACAATTGTTGAGAGTGACAGAGAACGAAACATCATCGAGTATCTTAGAGGACTTGCCCATAATTTTTTGATGGACTAGTATACGCGGACTTTCGGAAGACTTATTAAAGGTACAAGATTAGACAGGCTTCATTAACTATTATTAAGTTGTTATAAGTTGATTATTTTGCATTTGCTAAAGGTAAAATATTGCATGGGACTAGTGACTCGTTAAACGTTTCTTAATTTATATAGTTTGCATTCTCATTATTAAAAGTTTATAAACGTTAAGTTAAATAAAAAGTTATTTTTAAATGGCGCCAAAATGTTCTGCGCCAAAATGTTCTGCGCCAAAATGTCCTGCTTCGATTTTTGGGCTGTCCATAAAGTATGTCTAGCTATTTTTGACAATGTTTAACCTTAACCCCTCCCCCCCCCCCCCCCCCCCCCCCAGGCGCCAAAATGTTCTGCGCCAAAATGTTCTGCGCCAAAATGTCCTGCTTCGATTTTTGGGCTGTCCATAAAGTATGTCTAGCTATTTTTGACAATGTTTAACCTTAACCCCCCCCCCCCCCCCAATCTCCCGCTGTCAAAATCTGTCACAAATTTTGGAAACCGCTCCCTAAAGTATGTTACACTTTTGAATTAACAAACCATTAGCCCAACGATAGTTATGGGAGATTTCAAATTCCATGATGCATTTTAATTACTATATACTACTAAGTGACAACTTCTGTCGGGATACATCTATGATCTATCACACTACTGTCAATTTCAGGGTTTTTTCTATGTATGATAATAGTATTGTGTGACGGCACATATAATCTATGCCACCCCCACCCCACCTTTTTTGTCTTGGATTCCTGCCCCACCCCCCACCCCTTTTTCGGAGCCTGGCGTATTTTATGTTTGACCCATTTCCTGGCGAAGGTCAAAGTTTCATTCTGAATGATAGTTTCCGCATTGTTGTAGTAGCCATGTCGATATCCTGACCATTGATAAAACTGAATTCCATTGCAGTAAACAAAATATTGTTTACTGAAACAGATGTCGTTTTCACGGCCTAGAGCCGCATGCCTCTCAATCAATACACAACCGGTGGCGGACTCCGTCCAAATATTTTGTTTGCCAGACAGAAGACCAAAATTTGTGGGGAGGTGGGGGGGGGGGAGGGAATCATAGTGTACATATACTTTCATTTTGAAGTAAACAGCGAATTATTTTTAATGGCTTACTTGTTTTGTACATTTCACATTATTGTAACTTGACGCGTTGCATATAATTTCATGCAGTACACAATATGAAAGGCAATCGTTTGTGTTCACTGAGAATTTGTCAATAATTAGAAAGAGTCCTACTAAAAGTTAATAGAAGATTTTTAATGTAAGTTCCGTTATATGTTCAAGCTGTAACCAAAGTGTTTAATTGATTGTTGGATTTTGTTGGTTTTGTTTTTGGTTGTTGCTTTGTTGGTTTTTGTTGTTGTTGTTTTTTTTTTATCCCTACCATCCATCTGGAAACTGAGTGCATATCGGCGATGTTTTTCATTCGATTCTTATTTAAGGGACATTTACTATGTCTGAGTACCACAGCGTTGTATAAAGACGTAAGGAATTATGTGCTTCGATTCCAAAAAGATCTTCACTACTAGAAAAAAAAAGTATCCAATTTCACGACATTGAGAATTGATAGCCCTGATTACAAAAGCGGTAAGTCTTTTTAGATAAAAAAAAGCAGGTTGCTAACAGAATAGAGTGCAACCAGAATAGAGACGACTAGCATAGGCTGCCACTAGAATAGGGTGCCACCAGAGAAGTATTTCAAATAATGCCAGTGCCATAAGGTGGATTTCTAAATCCTGCTCCTTTTTTTAAAATATCGTATTACCATATGCAAGTACAGCAGAGTAAGTAGAACTAAATCTTATTGATGTATGGTATACAAGTACAGCAGAGTAAGTAGATCTAAATCTTATTGATATATGGTATACAAGTACAGCAGAGTAAGTAGAACTAAATCTTATTGATATATGGTATACAAGTACAGCAGAGTAAGTAGAACTAAATCTTATTGATGTATGGTATACAAGTACAGCAGAGTAAGTAGAACTAAATCTTATTGATGTATGGTATACAAGTACAGCAGAGTAAGTAGAACTAAATCTTATTGATGTATGGTATACAAGTACAGCAGAGTAAGTAGAACTAAATCTTATTGATGTATGGTATACAAGTACAGCAGAGTAAGTAGAACTAAATCTTATTGATGTATGGTATACAAGTACAGCAGAGTAAGTAGAACTAAATCTTATTGATGTATGGTAAACAAGTACAGCAGAGTAAGTAGAACTAAATCTTATTGATGTATGGTATACAAGGAAACAGAAAAAGTTGATAGGTGTGCAGCATTGTCTGTTGACCAGTACAGGGAAACAGTGGCGACGCCATCAAATTTAACATGGCGGTTCCTTGCATGTCTTAAAAAATTTGGCGGTCCCAAAAAATTGAATTAAAAATAAAAAATTTAAACATATAAAGGCATTTAAAATGGAAGTTCTCTTACATGTAATGTAGTTTACGCTTAATGAGCGTATATACAATATTAATAACTCATAAAAATTTACCAGGTCATTTGCCAAGTCCCAAGTTTTTTTTACCAGGTCCTGGGACCCGGCGGGACCTGGTGTAGCGTCGCCACTGCAGGTAAACTATCTTAAAAGCAAAAGCGGTTCGCCGAATTTTGTGCCCCCCTTCAAGTGTCGCCCACGGCGTGGGCCATGTCTTGCCACGTATTCGGTACGCCCCGCATTATAAAATAAGTGGTTTTAAAGGTGGTCATAGCTACGTCACGTATCGTGCTGAGCTGAACTTTTAATCAACTTTTGTGTCTCTACTTCGTTGTTTTGGGGTTTTTTAAGGACAAGTTTGACCTGAACAACTCACTCTACAACTATGTCACTATAGTTTTTGAGTTCGTTTCAAGTTGAGTAACGAAATATTTAAAAGGGCAGCTTCGTGGTGTGGGTCCACCATCCACATAAGGAGAATCACTTGTTTTTAAAATAGGCAAATCGTCAAGAAATGAATGGGGAACAACTCAGGACACACGCGTACAGACTTGACAACCCTCTAACGCATCGGTTCTCAACCTGTGGGTCGCGACCCCCTTTCGAGACCCTTTTTCAAGGGTCACCTAAGACCATCTGAAAACATATATCCTTTACAGCTATGAAGTAGCAACGAAAATAATTTTGTGACTGGGGGTCGCCACGACACGAGAAACTGTATTAAAGGGTCGCGGCCCTAAAAAAGTTGAGAACCACTGCTCTAACGATTTCTAAATAGCGATGACGTCATTCTTTTTGTACACACGTACGAAACTAGGTTGCGGTAAACGGGTGTTTTGTCCCACTGAAGGGACGCGGATATTGAACGCAATCTGAGTTTCGTATAGGAAAATCGGGCGATGGTGTCCTTGACATTTATTCTTTTGTTGTTTTTTAAAATCCAAAAATATGCAGAGTGTGCACCTGGTAAAGGACTATCCGATATTTGCATCCTACGCATGCTCCGCGGAGCTGACTGAATTTGTTGACATCAAGGATTTTGATTTGCTTGATTGAATGTAATTTGGCCAAATACGAAAGACTGTGTTCATGAGCTTATGATTGTGAATGTGCAAATATCCCGATCTGTGTTGATCATCTTTCAGCCAGCACACACCCCGTCACTCAACTCAGATCTAAATGTTGAAACAGTAGAGACTAATTGATGCAATGGTCTTACAACGAGCGCGGGAGATCTTAAGAATTCTTCAAACTTTTGGTCAACATTTTTTTTCTATTAATAGTTTCAACACGTGACCATTTGATTCACCGAAGCTCCAATTGCTTCCATTACATTTTCAAGCTGTCCTAAATTTCTAAATTTATTTTTACAATAAAACTTTTTTTTTCCTAAAAGTTCTGTCATTACATTGTGTTCTTGTAATTAAAAAAAAAATTGATTTATACTGAATAAGTAGCCCCGATGACATAATATAATTCAAAAAGGTCTTTGTCTAACGTATTCGGAACCACTGATATGTTCGATAAATAACCAATGATAAATAATATTTTCTTGTAACTCGGCTTATTGAAAAACCTCAGCTGCATGGTACTCTCTTTCAAATTAACAGCTTTATGGCAAATTTAAATTAAAAGAACTATGGCTTTGTGCCGTTAAAAATAAAAATGTACTTTTATATTATACGAAATGCAAATGTTGTGTTGCCAAATTTTTATTAAAAGTTTAAGTCGATGATGTTAAAAGTTAAAAGTTTAAGTCAACAGTCATTGGATTACTTTTTTTAATGTACCCAAGTTCTGTTACATGTGTGGTGGTTTTCTTCTCCGAAATACTAAGACCTTGTGCCCAGGGTTTCTTTCAGCTATATATCCGGGGGGGGGGGGGGGCCACCACCCCCCCCCGGGGAAAACCCAGGGCCNAAAAAAATGCCAACAAAAAAAACACCGGCCCCCCCCCCCCCCCCCACCCAAAATTATGGAGGGCCCCCCCCCCCCCCCCCCCGGGGGGGGGGGAAATTTCTAAAAAAAAATCACTGCTTGTGCCCCGTGGTTTGTTGACACTCTGTGCCGATTCCCACGATCCTAACACCGGAAAAGTGGATTATATTTTTATTGTTCGGGTACTCTAAGCCAAAAATTAGGTTAATACCTTATAAGTCTGTTGCATTGACTTGGTGATCATATGGAATTTGTTTCTACACGTTGATGTAATGATTGGTCTTGAGAATCCCTTGAGACTTGCCCGTGGGGGTTTTGTGATCCATAAGACGCCTCATGGGTGTGTCTGTGGGGAGGGGGTCCTTCGTGGTGGCTTCGTGGGTGTGGCTAGATGTGAGTATGTGTGTTTGCTGGTTTCTTTGATTAATATCGATCGAAGTGGCTATTCGCACCCGGGTACCCAGAAGTGAGAGGTTGGGATTAAAAAACTATTTAAAACATTATTGTTGGGTTTGTAAGACAAAATGAGTTAACAATTGAAAGATAATTGAATGGACTACATGTTTGCAAACTTAATTCTTCAGTTTAACTAAAATAAACAACCACAAATGACATCCGAATAGCACTGAGTCAAAATTGGCCCAGTCATGCAGCGCCACCATTCGCACCCGGGTACCATTAGACTCAAGCTATTCGGATGTCATTTGTTGTAGTTTTTATTTTAGTTAAACTAAAGAAGTAAGTTTACAAACATAATAATATAGTCCATTCAATTATCTTACATTTGATACCTCATTTTGTCTTAAATGTTAAATAGTTATTTAATCTCAACCTCTCACTTCTTTTACCCGGGTGCGAATAGTCGCAGCCAATATCGATACAACAGGATGTTAGAAGGTTTGGTTTCTAGCTTTTAATTCATTGTATATACGTGGCGAATGAAATCGTAGAATTAATGCAAGTACTTGCTTCACTGAGACACTTCTAAGTTCGTGTCAAAACGTTTCATTTTTAACAGTGTGGCTCACACTTAATGCAAGTACTTGCTTCACTGAGACACTTCTAAGTTCGTGTCAAAACGTTTCATTTTTAACAGCGTGGCTCACTTAGCGTTCAATTATAACGTTAACAACACTTACAATTTTAGCACTGTGATCTAACTACTTCTTTTGGGGAGTACTGATATGTACTAAATAGTTTATGTTTCTTTTATCTCAAGAGATTTGCTCAAACTCTGCGTCAGAAGAAAAAAAAGAACATCAATTTGTTGGAACTTGGATACCAATTCATTATAAATAAAGATACTTAATAGAAAGTTAATCTACCGGTATCGTGTGTCTTTGAGACACATCTTTGATTTTAAAAAAAAAGGCAGTTTAACTATCTATTATTGACTGATCTCTTTAGAAAATGATGAGTCCATGCTGTGTCGCGATTCATCATATTTATTAGCGTATTTGTTCCCAGATCTACCCTTTTTTCCATAGATTAGGGGAAGAAAGTTTCAGACAACTGCAGCATTTTTTTCTGTACTTTCAGCAAAAATCTAGGCCCGTGACTGCCTGTGGTCAACCAAACTTTGTTTGAGAACCCTGTACCGAAACGTAATTGTTAGGTCGATGCTCCATTTTTTTCGGTCACGTCACGACTTTAAAATAATCGTTCTCTCGTTGTTAACAGTCCTGTGAGGGAGGGGTTTAGAGGGTAGGGGTGTTAGTGGGGGGGGGTGTTTAGGAATTAGGGCAGGGGATTGGGTGGGGGTGTTAGGGGGCGTGAGGGCGCCCGCAGGGGTCACATCTGTTGATGTTATTCTGATTGGCGGTAATCGCGGACACAAAGAACAACGACGCGTTATTTAAATCCGTTACCGCCTGGAAATCATCGCATCCCACCACGCAGTAACAGAAGTGCGGGTAACATTAATTGGTACAAGAATGATGATCTTATTTCTCCTCGGAGCAGTTAGTCTCAGCCATGTACAGTGTGCTAAACTATTCCGTAAGTGTGTGCATTGACGGTGTCGTTAAATAGTAGAGTTGTGTTTTGTAATGAAATCGTTAGATTGTGTACTTGTGAACTATAGTGTAATTAATGTAATGGGAAATTGAATTTATTAAACTTCCTATTAATTAACCAAAAGTGCGTAACATTTTTATTTCATGTATACAAGAATCTTAAACTGTGTGTCGTTACATAGTTTTCAATCAAATGTGTCGTGACACAGATTTTCAATCAAATGTGTCGTGGCACAGCTTTTCAATCAAATGTGCCGTAATAAATCATGTATGTCCCTTCACAAAGGATTATTTTTATTGCTTATTTTTTGCAACAGCCTTTTACTTTGAATTAAGTTAAAGCCGAGACATTTTTTGTCAATATCACATTGTATCTCTATTTAGCCATAAACAAATGCCCGCTCTACAGATGCGCGGCACCTCCTGTGAACTGTCGTTACGAGGCTGACTCCGCTGGATGCATGACTTGCAATCTTGTGTGTGACCCGGTCATTGAAACGACGTGCCCTCCCCCACCACCATGTGCAGCACCACCGGAGAACTGCCATTACGAGCCTGATGAAAATGGGTGCATGGTGTGCAATCTTGTTTGTGACGCCCCCGTAATGAGTACATGTCCGCCCCCACCACCATGTGCAGCACCACCGGAGAACTGCCATTACGAGCCCGATGAAAATGGGTGCATGGTGTGCAATCTTGTTTGTGACGCCCCCATAATGAGTACATGTCCGCCCCCACCACCATGTGCAGCACCACCGGAGAACTGCCATTACGAGCCCGATGAAAATGGGTGCATGGTGTGCAATCTTGTTTGTGACGCCCCCGTGCTGAGTACATGTCCGCCCCCACCACCGTGTGCAGCACCCCCTGAAGGCTGCAACTACATCAACGATGAGAATGGTTGCATGACGTGCACCCTGGTCTGTGATGAAAACCAGTGCCCACCTGTTTGTGAGATGTATTGTCCGAATGGGTGAGTAGTAGTTTTAACGCCTTTAGACGTGTTTCCTTATTTCTTTATGGCAAAATTTTAGAAAAAGCTAGTTGGCCCAGCACTTCCCGTCATCCTGTCGAGCTGACATTTAGCACACAGACTTTTTGCCCATGGCAACACATTTGGTCAAATTGTCAGCCCCACCCCCACCGCAAAAAAATTAATTTGTCCTGTTTTTGAAACTACTTGTTTGTGTCGATGCTCCAAGAAAGGTGCTACAGTTTAAGCCCTCATAAAAATTGTTGTTGTTTTTTTCTACCATCATGCGCCATCAACAAAAGCCAATGTAGTAAAAAAAAAAATGTATTTTCGAAGGTGAAAATGAAGGGAAATACGAAACGTGTTCTCCCCAGTAGTTTACCCACTTACATAAGTGCTTCTTAATACATGCTAAACCACGTACAATTACATAAATGCAAACGAAAATCCATATCAAGAATTTATGCCAAAAACTTTGTGTTTTTACGGTTGTTGTTTTTATTTATTACTTAATCTTTTAATAATGGAACATGATGGCGCCCTGGTAATGATTGAAAGCATTTTGACCGTATGGTGGGTGGCCTGTAGTGTAAGCCTAATGCTAATTGTAAGTTGGTGTTTTTTGTTTTTTTCCTTTTTTACTAGATTAAATATATAATATAAATATGTGTATAACAATTTTAATACAGAAGATATTATATCTTCAAAAATACTGTGTTAAAAAAAAAATTAAATCTTAGAAAAAAAAAAGTTATGAAATTGCAAACGTATCGTGTGGCACAGCTTTTAGATTCTAAGAACTTTCTTGGAAAGCAACACTTCTTTTGTGTAAACAATAAACTATGAAAACATAAAGAGTGTTTTGTTGGGGGTTTTCTGTTCTTGTTTTTTTTAATTATTATATCGACAGTTTTAAATAGGATTCACTGTGGTTGCCAGGCCATGTAGATTTTGGTTATTATATTGTCATTTAATATTGAATCTCTCTGCAAACGTAACATCATATCATTCCAGAAATGTCCTGGATGAGATGGGCTGTGAGACGTGCTCCTGTAACTCCGAACCAATATCCTTGGAGTGAGCGCAACACGTGTGCATGAAGTGGTCCTGTGAGGAGATTCTGTCATAAAATCACCCGGCAGACACCCCCGAGTGTCTAAACAATGAACAATACGTTGTATTTGGTGGAGGGAAAAAAATTAGTGTTCTTTTGATTATATTAAAACGCGATAAGAAAATAAATGTGACTGTTGAGAATAAACTATACTGAATTTAGCATGTGTGAAACTGACGGCCTCTTGGACGAGGAAACGATCTTTCTCACTTCCATCTCCCACACCTTCCCCCACTCACACCATTTCCTCACAAACACCTTTCACACACCAACTACCTTATCCCCCAACTTCCCCATCGAGACCTTTCCATCCCAACATTCTACATCCCAGATGGCACCTGAATGCCCAATCATTGCTTAACTTTCTTCGTGACTTGCCAACTGTACAACGATACAGTAGTTTTTAGCCTCAAACTGGCCACAGCCACTTGAGCCAATGTGGTCATCATGCTCGTTGGTGATATTAATGTGCGCTGTGGCGATTAATTGGAGACCCATGAACCATGTGATTACCTGTCTGGGCAGCCACGCTAAATATATTTAAGATTATTTTTTTTTTAAGTAATCGATCCTCATTACCAGAAATTTGTTCAAACGGAAGTTTGTTCGAAATTAAATTTGTTAAATATAGATATATTTATGATTTTGTTTTTGTTTTTTTTTTTAAGTATGGTGCCAGAGAGAAATTGGGAAAAAATAAAATGTTTAAAAAAACGTGTAATTTTGTCAGTAGTTTCTCAATATTTGATTTCGAAGAAATTTCCATTGGCATAAACTCCGTTGAACATTTTCCTACGATCAATTTGCCTTCGTACAAATTTATAGTAACCCTCACAAAGCTGCCAAACGCACTTTCAAATCGGGTCCTGCACAAAAACAAAATATTTTTAAAAGCCGCTAAAAATAATTATGAGACGTCTTTCTTTGGTTTAGTGCAGTGGTCGGCAAACTCATTAGTCAAAGAGCCAACGATCAGTAGCAGGGCGATTTATTTTAAAAAAATTTGAGAGCCAAATGTATTTTCAAGAACCTATCAAGAACCGTGTTTTTCGGATTCAAAACTGATGTTTGGCCGACTGGCCGAGCCGCACTCAGGTCTCTAAAGAGGCGCATGCGACTCGCGCGCCGCGATTTTCCGACCGCTGGTTTAGTGTTAGGCTACGTGTAACGACACAACATCTTAATGCAATCTTAATGCAATCTTAATGCCCAGATGATGTTGTCCTTTGTCTGAAGTCTTTCATTTCATACTCAAAATCCACATGTCACAAAAGTCCTGTTACCCTAATATCAAACTAAATTGTCAGAAAATAGTTATTTTAAATTAACAATTTGATTACATAAAGCACTTCATAGAACAATTTTTTTGTAAATATTAAATGCAACTTACTTCATTCTGTGTGAAGTCTGAGAGAAAACTGTCAGCTGGTAGTCAATTTTGAAGTGGTAAAATGTAAACAAATTAAAAAATGGAAGATCGCCTGATCCCCGACTCTCCCTGGTTATTTTAATTTCATAACAGCTTCGTTTTGAATTATTTTTTCATAATGGTCAATGATTTAGGATAAAGTTGTGTTTTTTTTTAATTTTAAAACAATTCTAATAAATTTGGATCAGACTAGAAATTAGATTAAGCCAGATTTTTAGCCATTTACTTTTTATCACAACAAGAAAACAAGAAGAAATTATCACAGGTATAAATTATTTATTGTGACTATTGACAGTGTTTCACTGATTACACTAAGTACCATTAACTGAGCATTCTAAAGCTACCACAAGTTATTATATAGATAAATGGTACAGACAAAAATCTAGTGCCAGGTCTCGTTACGGGGGAGCGAAAAGCGTGACATAATATTTGAATACAATGTCCGAGAGGATATCATCATTATCCACGGGTCTCTGGCTTAGGGAAAGGTCCTCAAACGGTTGCGATATTTGATTTATCGATTTTTTTTTCTGGGGGCGGGCAATGAATTACGCGGGATCTCAGCTCAAGTATAAACGGGCATTTATTCACTTTATTTACAACAACCTGTATCTGCCGAGTGTTGCCCTTAACAAACAACCTTGTTGCAGGAGAGAGATTTTTAACAGCGAACGTGGCGTCATATGGTGTGGTGATGTATTGGGTCGATTTGTTATTTCATTTTTTATTTTTGTTAGCTTTGGGGAGGGGTTAAAAGGGGCCCTTTACTCGATTTACTCGATTTAAGAGGCATCATTCGGGCTATGACTAATTTTTTGTTAATGAGTAAGATACAATAGAATGTTGTCAAATTAATGAACACTAAAAATGAGCATATATTTCGTGAGGTGACTTGTATGTAGCTTTATATCACGATCATAAACCAATCACAGTCCATTTGTACACAAACAAAATAATAAATTATTAGCCTACCACACGACTGTACACTATAACCAGAGTACGATTTTACAATGAATGTAAGCTAACTGAAATCTACGAGCTAAACGCTGATTGGTCGCATGCCTTCAAGGGCCGTAATCTTGATCGTAGCTGTTCCTGGGCTGCTGTTGGTAGATGTGTGTAGGTAGCCTTGGGGGCTCAAACATCGTTATACGGTCACCTTCATAGCCCTGGGTAATTTTAATAAAAGTGGAATCAACATGATTTTACCAATGTATTCGTTTACAGAAATTATGGAGCGAAAACAAACTTTTCTCATTGAAATATCTGCAAGAAAACCTGGTAGTAACGCATTGGCCTACATGGGGTCCTTTTTTTTCTCTTAACATTCCTTGAATAGGTTAGACAAAAATAAGGGGCCTCAGAGCCTAACTTTCCCAAGGGTCCCCGAAGGTGTCAAGATGGCCCCCCCCCCCTGACCAGAAACTAGCAATTATAAACCAGAAAAACATAGTTACATAGTGGTCACATTAAACTCATAAGATGCAGTTTTTTTTTATTTTCGATACGTTTTAAAGACGTGGATGTTAGAATACGGCTGGCTGATCTTATGGGAAACAAGTCCACGTTCAGAAACTTACATGATGCATAGGGTTATCTTCCTGTCGTTGGTCAGATTTCTGCCTGCCTGGAAACAAAATGGTCAGTATCACTTAAAAATATAAGGAAATGTGTTCAGGCCGTGCGAAGTAAATAAACTTGGCACAAGATGTGTTTAGGCTTTTGAAGAAATGACAGGGTAATTGAAAGGACGTTTCAGTTGGACGCCGTCTTCAGCAGACAATACAAAACATGAAACTACAGATCATTAAAAATTCAAACGTGTGTGCTCGAAAATCTCCAAAAAAAGTCAATGTAGGTCAATGTAGGTCAATGTAGGTCAATGTAGGTCAATGTTCAGAGCAGGAAGCGGTCTACGTTCCATTTTTTGCTCACTTCATTAATCACTTCTGGCATTCAAAGGGAAGATAATTTTAATTTGCTACTTTAAGATATATATATAATATATATATAATTCGCCAGCAAAGGTCAAACACCAACACCACGCAGGCTATATACAGATACGCCAGAGTGTGGTTCAATAATGAGTTCACTAGCGCACAATATATAATTCCTGATAACTACGCTAAATGATATATTTTTTTTTAATAATGCAATTGCGTTTGGTGCGTAATATTTTCTTTTCGGAAATGAAATCGTCTCAATTTAAGTATTGTGTAAAATAATTCGGTTTAAAAGTGGTTGGGACATGAGAATATTAATATAGTTCATGGGCGTGAAATAAAAAGTGTGCAGTGACGTATTATGGGGGAAGGGGTGTAGCAAATACTGGGATTCTTAAATGTGCGTTACTTGAGTTGACGTTTTTGTCAAGTAGCTTTAGTAGACGGGAAGTTCACGCATTGCTGTCGCCAATGTTTGGCGGGCTCCATCTAGTATATTGAAACTCTCGGACCATCCCAACAATTTACTTATCTCTATTCTACCACTTGCTGTCATTCTTGGAGATTGTTTCCTTCTGGTCTGGCACGGATATATTTCAAATGTGTCGTAAATGATAAATGTTATGATATTAAATCATTGTAATAACCAAACATAGCAGTCTTTTTTTTTAAATTATCTATCTGCAAAATTTTATTTTACTTTGAAAAAGTTGGTTACATGTTAAGACGTGTGTGTAAATGTTTGATCCTTCAACCAGAACGAGAAAGCTCCTCGGGGGATAGACATTCATCCGTTCACACTGTATTGAGTGAAGTAAAAGAAGTATGTGTGGACAAGTTGTTTGTGAATTATCAACATACCATCTTTCTGCCCAGGTAGGGAAAGTACTTTGGCGCCCTCTTGAGACACGGCTCCGTACTCTGTGGACAAGAGTGGAAATACTAGGACTTTGTTATACAAGACTTCAGGGGACTTTACTTTCGTATAAAACAAAATTTAAATCATCCCAAAAAGTAATTTTAAATCTACTTCTTACCTTTCCTGGCACTTTTCATTGGTCAAAAATTTACAATCAAACCTAATGTGAACTGGGGCAAGTCGAGCGATCTACCTAATGACTAGTTATTTTTCGTATGAAATTTTTATTTAATGAATGACCCAGATTTCTTACCTTGTTTGGGATCCTTGGCCAGTCGTGTGCTGGACAAATCTCTGGCAACACCTGACGGGACGCCGTGGGGGGCGAGGTGAGATGTGTCCTCAAACAGTTCATGGGGGACCTTTCCTCCATGGGAAAATTTCCCGCGGTCCTTGACAACAAAGAAAGAACACATCATTTGTGAAAAGATTAAGATCCCTTGATGAACATTGCGAAGATCGCTTGATAACACGTATGATAAGCACGTACAGACCGTGAACAAGTCATGTTACGTCTAACAAGTTCTATACGTGTGATGTCTTTGTGAGCCATCTGTGTCACATACAAATATGAATTAATGAGAAAACGTCTTTCCGTGTCTTGTTTGTCGTTTTCCTCCACGCACAGCTGGGCGCAATCCATGTCCGGATATTAGGCGCAATCCATGTCCGGATATTAGCACGCAACCAATTCGTTCTAAATAAATTTGCTATGAAGGAATGTTGTTAAAAGGAAGTTATTTCAAACGGAAACAATGGGTGGGGGTCGTACAAAAATAAAGTGTAATTTTTAAAAAGTTTACGTTTTCCCCATTTCACCCCCACTTGCTTTCGAACAAACATTATTCTATGCTCATCAAAGCAAGTTGGTACTTTACATTTTAATATTCTGCAACCAATTACTCTTCTTTTTTTTCCTTTCTACCGTTTTCATTTCGTGGTAAACTTTTGAATAAGTAGTCGACTTTCTATGAGCTGAGTTTTATTTTATTTAATGTATCCTTACCTTTTTTTATTGTATTTTCTCAAACTTTCTCATAAAATTGATATCCTGTGCTGTAATCGAAGTCTACCCTAACATCTTTACTATTTGTGAGCACTTCTTAAATAATTCATTTCCTAACATGGTTCGGCAACTTAATGGAATTAATCGTTTTTTTTTTTTATTTGTTGTTGTTTTTTTATTTAAAAAGTTTTGACGACAACCATGTGTTTAGATTATTGTTTGAGGCCTTACATAATCAATAAACCCGCGTCACACATTGCGCCAGCAGGAAGTCAGTCGATAATGAGAAGAACCCACAGTCAAGGGCGATCAACGCGATAAAAGAGAAATAAGGATTAATTGTCACACCTTGTAACGGAACAAAGTTTAACTTTATTGATCTTTTAATCTTTTTTTTTTTTTTTAACTTGCTACTTTTTTTTCCAGGCTGAGTTTGTAGTTAATTCTATTAACTATTAAAGCTATTAAACATTTGAATATATTGACGTCAAGATGATTCTTTTAAAGGAAGGTTATTTGTTATTAGAAATCAAGAGTTCAAAAAAACAAAACACAAATCTCATTCAAACCCGTCCTACCAGTCACTCCTCCACCGTCCTGCTCGCCAATCTCATGGCATCTGTATGCAAAAATACTACCGCGAACGTGGACATATGTTCTGGAGTGTCTAGGATTGTTGAGGTTTGAGTTGGCTTGTAAATAGTGTGACTTAGTAGTAGAAAATGGGGGGATGACCTACTTGCAAAAAGAGATTGATGCCCAGGTAACCGACCAGCACAAAGATGCAGGTGACGCCGTAGATGCGAAACGTCACTACACTGCCTGAAAATGGCGGGAAATTGAACATCTTGTTGTACTAATAGAGCCTAAGATTTCACACACTTATTTTAATGATAGACTAATGTATTACCCACAATTATTGTACTGATAGACCAAGGTAATCTCCACAATTATTGCACTAATAGACCTTTGTACTCCCCATGATTAATGTTTGATAGACGAATGTATTCCCCACAACTATTGTACTGATACACCAATGTATTCCTCAAAATTATTGTACTGATAGACAAATCTATTCTTTACAATCATTGTATTGATAGATCAATGAATTTCCCACATTTATTGTACTGATAGACCTATCTATTCTTTACTATTATTGTATTGATAGACCAATAAATTTCCCACATTTATTGCACTGATAGAATAATCTACTCCCCCACATTTATTGTTCTGAAAGACTAGATCTTTCCCATTTATATATATACTGACCGTACTGATAGACCAGGAGACCGCCAAAGACTGCACCACACCCCCTCCCCAGGCCGTGGTGTAAGCCCTGCAGGATCCCTTGGGCCGACGACCTCAGCTCTACAGGAATGGCGTGCGTGATGTAAGCACAGCAGGCTGCCCATACGGCAGCATGGGTGAGACCTGTGGAAGACATATCGTTAACGTATCATTTCATGAGCGCTGCAATGTATTAGATGAAAGTGTTCCGAACTAATCAAAATTTGGTTTGAGATTAGCTGGACTGAGACGTGCATTTCCTTTTTTTTTTTTTTTAACTCACAGAAAGGTGTTTAACAAAATAATTTTGAAAGATAACTATAAGTTTTAAAAATATATGATATGCCTCAGATCTGCCCTTTTAACTGTTTCTCTGCCCCCTTTCTGGGCGGAACACTTGGTGTATTATAAACATTAAAGAATGTCGTTTAATGCCTTCCACAAACGGACTAACAATGGCTGCTGACGAACTTGTAAGAATAAATGTGTAAAAATCAAACCCAATCTCACCTTGCACAAATTCAAACGGCAGCACCCACCACGGATTCGTTAAGAAAGAAATGTACATAAATCTGGCTATGTTTCCGGCTAATCCAATGTATAAAATCTTGACGTGGCCTGTGGGAAAACAAAATATATCCTTAAACATGCCTCTTACGAACTGATCACTTGATATAGAATGCTAAGTCTGGCCCATGGCTGCGTCTGACAACTAGATCCAACCAGCCAGTCTTTGACAAATATAAATGCTCCCGACGCTAATAGCTAATTAGCTACATAGCTAATTATTATAATTCAATAATATTAAAGTAAATAGCTGCTAACTAACCAGTGCTACCTGACGATGAGTGCCCAACAAATTTGGGACAAGTTAATTCGTGAATTTCCAATCTCGTTTAGCCATAGATTGATTGGTGACTGTGTGGGCAAGTGTTTCAACGGCGCAACACTTGTGGGATGGAACTCAAGCCCCAGCAATACCTAGACAAAACCCCGACCAGATGGGACTCGTCAACCTTGGATGGTGACGATTTACGAGGCGGGATAACTCTGATCGCAAACACCCTCTGCCTTGCAGCCACAAGCCAATGGTTAAATGCTAAGGGAGACAAACCAATTAGCTAAATCCGGAGATTGAGTCCCATACGTGGCATGTCATTGAATCAATAACAGTTCGGAGAATGTATCCTCCATACTTTGGGTTCCTCCGATGCGTGGAGATATAGGATCTTACTGGTAACCAGCGTATTGAACATAACGAAACCAAAAAAGCCCGGACCTTGCGATTTCACCCTTTCAAAGCAAGCCACATCATCTTCTCTACAGCCGTCAATCATCATTTCTAAATATATAATTAAAGTCCTATAATACCCAATAATGTTATTCGAAAGTAATGCTGGGCTTTCAAGAAGAAAAAAAACATGTGTTTTTAACCAACTTGATGGTATCAATCTTTTCTATTTTCGCTTAATGTTGCACAATGCTGCTGTAAAACAATTGAAACGTTCCTACCGTATTTAACGATGAGGTTTCCGGTCATGAAGTAGGCGAACAGCTCTGACACGTGGTTTATAACGGACGCCACACCGAACAACGTCGGAGACCCGCCCAGGTCTTGTAGGTGCCAGAACAGGAACGTGAAGATGATGCCGATACCGAAGCCCATGAACCAGGAAATGAACAGAACTGAGATGTACTGAAATAGGAGAGATGAACGATTTAATGATATGTACGGAGATATGAAACGACGGATGACATCAAATGTAGGCCGACTGAAATATGAAAAAAAAAAACTGATTAAATGAGATGTATTACAATATGAAACACGGCATGTCAAATGAAATACGCTATAGAAAAAGAAACATGACAGATTTAGTGGGAAAGAAATAAAATATGAATATAACAGATTCAGTGAAATGTGAAAAAAGGATTGCATTTTTAAGGCGTCTGAATCATGGTGTGTAGTTTAAATTTAACCAAACTGCGTGAATAAGTCATCAACAATTTTCAAATTAACTTTACTTTTCGATGCACAACTCAGGCATTCTATCAAAATTCTACAACCTAACACAGTGGTCAGCAAGCTCTTTAGTCAAAAGAGCCAAAAATCAGCAAAAAAAAGTTTTGAGAGCCAAATTTATTGTACAGAATCTATCAAGAACTTTGTTTTTCGGAGTCAAAACCGCATTATGGTTGCAATCAGGTTGCTAAAGAGCCGCATGAGGCTCGCGAGCCGCGATTTGCCGACCACTGACGTAACAGATCTATACTCGAGCATTGTTATTCGACCAAAAAAAAAATTTGTGAGCGATAGAACATTCACAAAGGAAAATTCCGTAATCTCTTCCTCCCACTTAGTTTCGGGACACGAGGTATGGAAACTATACCTGGTACGTAGCAAGCAGCTTGACCACAGCTATCCATTTCCCAAAGAAAGGCTGGTCCGAGTAGCTGGACTCTATGCTCCCGAAAGGGATGGCTCCTGTGGCACCACCAAAGCCTCTACCAGCCTGGGGAGAAGAGTAGAGTAGGTCAGGTAGCATTAGGTCAGGTAGCATTAGGTCAGGTAGCATTAGGTCAGGTAGTATTAGGTCAGGTAGCATTGACTTTGTGTCACGTGATGTAAATATATACACAAACTGTTGTACAGGAGCGACCAGGGAGAGGGGGGCAGGAGAGTTCATAAAACGGGTGGAACAAGGCAATGCAATTTTTTGCCAGTCTCTTACAAATTGCCTTCTAAGAGCATGCGCAGGAGGTGCTCATCAAACACTTGTTGATCGTCGGCCAAACCATGTTAATAATTTACAAATAAAGCTGTTATACATTGATGTGTGTGCGTGTAAATGCTATGGTAAATGCCATGTTTCTTCTTGCTAATATTTATGTGAAGCGCGGTGAGCCTAGCCCCAGGCTGGAGTACCGCACTAAATAAGATCACTATAATAATAATAGTAATAATAGTAATTTTTAAAAAGTTATTCACGGGGCGGGGTGAGGGGAGCAAATTCATTCATTGACCTTTGACTGTTAAAACACCGTCCTCACTTTCATCTTCTTAACTGCTTACGTAACCACATAGAATCGCCTTTGGTTTGGGAAAAAGGGGGGGGGGGGCTGGGACTGGTTTAATTTATATGACAATAAGACGCTGATAAAACTGTTATACATCCCCCAGCTCACGGCTCATAAATCAACTTAATAATCTAAATTGGTCACCGATGCAGGCAAACAATACATGCATACAGGAAACACGATGCCAAAATTGTCAGCAATTCTTCAAGTTCAGCCGGCAAAACTTAATTAAGAGCCGTCCACACAACCGCTTTCTCTTCAATATTACCCCCGTGTCTATTACCAATTATTGCATGTGACGCAATGAAGCCATATTAGACGGGGGTAAGCAGGTTATGAGGTTTGGTCCTTTTAAATGAGATCTTTGAAAAAAAAAATGGAGGGTACAGTCTTCAACCGTTGCCCCTCCCCACTTTTTACAAATGAAGCTGTTATACATTGAATTGTGTGTGCGTGTAAATGCTATGGTAAATGCCATAACAAAATGTCCCTAACAAAAGCTTTTTTTTTTTTTTTAAATTGGAAATTTTACAAATGAGGGTTGCGTGAATAACAGGGTGGTACTCAACTTTATGGAGGATAATTATGTTTGTAACGTTATTGTCAACTATTTACCTCACGTTACACAAAGCCTTTTCTACATCCTGAAAACACTCTTTAAAATCTAAAAAGTCCCCATCCATATAATTTATTGAAACGTTATACTTCTTCTAAATATGATCAATTTGTATCCTTTTCATTTTTAAAAAAAAAGAGTGGAGTTGAGTCAAAACTGATATATTTTTAAGCATAAACTATAAAACTGTTAAAGCTATACAACTGCGTCGATCCAATGTGTGTTCTTTTTAGCAATAACAAATTTCATCAGCTGAAAATGCTGAAATCAAGAGTAGAAGGTTTGGATCTTGTGAAACATTTCGCAATTGGGGGGGGGGGGGGGGGGGGGGGGGGGGGGGTGGGGGGGGGGGGTGCATGTGTCTGCTTCTCAGGGTAATGAACTTTTATTTTTAGCCCACATTTCATTCCTGGTATCCGCAAACTCTTGATTTTCGTGTTTTACTATTTTTTTTACTATTTTTTTTTTGTATTTTGGTATCGCCACCAATTATGTTACTTACCTTAGCACCTGGTGCTTTCAAAGCATCGGTTACCATGTCGGAGCCAGCTGCTGGGTTGATCTTTAGATTCGATTCTGCTAATTACAAGGCACAGGTTTATCACCAATAAAGAAATTCGCAGAGGAAAATACGTCTAATGATTCTTAACAAACACATCATTAACATTTTTTTTTTTTAATCTGAAAGGGACGCTTCCAAATACGAACGATCGCGATACTGAACAATTTTCTTTCTCTTTTTTTTTTTTTTTTTTTTTTTAAATTTTTTTTTTTTTTTTTAATTTGAAAGGGACCCTTCCAAATACGAACGATCGCGATACTGAACAATTTTTTTTCTTTTTTTTTTTTTTTTTATATTCTAAACATTTATTTTTCATTTTTAAAATGTAAAAAAAAAAAAATGAGTTTGTTAACATCTGGTATATTCAAATAGTAAGCGCTTTTAATAATCTTGAACAGAAAGGAATGATCAAGGGAATAGGTTTTGTTTTTTTTTTAACCTGGATTGATTTTCCAATCATTCATTTAAGAGCCATCCATAAATGACGTCATGCTATTTTGGTCTATTTTGGACCAGCCTATTCCCCCAACACACACAAAAATCGTCACAAAATGTAAAGCTATATATAATAATACATGTCAAAGTATTCCCACCCCCCCCCCACACACACACACATTTTCCCATTACTAGACAAATGACGTCATTTATGAAGCGGTTCATATTTCATATTTAAAAGTCGCTTATCTTCAACACCGAGATACATAGTGAGATACCCCTGATATTATTGAGATACCCTTGACATTAGCGAGATACCCTTGACATTAGTGAAATAACCCTGACATTAATGAGATACCCCTTACATTAGTGGGATATTCTTGACAATGGTGACATACCCATGACATTATGAAGATACCCCTGACACAAGTGAGGCAGCCCTGACATTAGTGAGACTACCCTGAAATTAGTGAGACACCCTGACATTAGTGAGACACCTCCGACATTAGTGAGATACCCCTGACATTAGTGAGACACCCTGACATTAGTGAGACACCCCTGAAATTAGTGAGACACCCTTGACATTGGTGAGACACCCCTGATATTATTGAGACACCTCTGACATTGGTGAGACTGACGACGGTACCAAGGTTCTCACCCGTTTCCTCGTAATTCTCCGACGTCTGTTGTCGGGCGCCGAACTCTTCATCGTCGTCGTCGTACTCCTCCACCAGCCTCTCTCTGTCAATCTTTTTCTGCCCGGAGAGGACTCTTTTCACCTTGTCCTTCACCTTGACCGGGATGTCCGAGAGCTTCAGGTTACGATCTCTGTGGTGGTCAAACCGGAACTGAAACGGTCAGCGAGTGGGGGTTAGGAATGGCTCGGCGCTTGGTTTAATTCTGAGTTAACGCTGAGTTACCGGTAACACTGAGCTAAAATTTAATCAACCACGAGTTAATGTCAGATTTAAAATGCGTAAATGCTGGATGGTCTAGTTTTGGTTCCATGTTTGGATAATCCTGGGTTGGGTTAAAGTTGTGTTGATGTTTTTTTGTTTGGTTGTTTGTTTGTTGTTTTTTTTTGTTTGTTTTTTTTTTTTTTGGGGGGGGGGGGTGGTTTTTACTTTGGGTTAATGTTGAGTTAATGTTGACTAAGTGTTGGGTTTAACTTAGGTCCACGCAAATAATTGCTGGTTAAACGTCGACCAAATGCTAACCTAGTGTTGATGTTTTTTTGTTTGGTTGTTTGTTTGTTGTTTTTTTTTGTTTGTTTTTTTTTTTTTTTGGGGGGGGGGGGTGGTTTTTACTTAGGGTTAATGTTGAGTTAATGTTGACTAAGTGTTGGGTTTAACTTAGGTCCACGCAAATAATTGCTGGTTAAACGTCGACCAAATGCTAACCTAATAACATCGGGTCAATCCCTATAGATTTAATGTTGAAACCCGGTTGTAGATGGGTTATGTTTCACTGTTGATTTGATGCTGGATTAGTCAAGGGCTTTGGTTGTGACTTATGTTGTTTTGTGAAATGATCAATTGCAAATCTAAAGAAAAGATCGAAATCCTGTGATGTTTCATGGAATTTATTCCGCACAAAAACGAGAGATATTTAACAGAGCCATAGGATGCTTAAAAGTGCATTTCGCCAGAGGTCTTGGTGGTTGTTTTTATTGTCCTAACGAAAATATTATTTAGACCAATTCTCTTTCTTTTTTTTTTTCCTCTGATCTCCCATTCATCATCCTAAACCAGGAAGTAGAGAACCAGCAGCCGAGAAGCACGCGTCACGGCAAGGCGTGTTTATGATGAGGTAGCCATGACAACCGTAGCCTTGGAATTGCCAAGTTATATTTACATCTCCTTTTGCAATACTGACTCGTCGTTTCGGTAATTGGATGTTGATTTGTGTGGTTAACAATCCTAGCAAGAGACCATAGTATTTGAATTCTCTGCATCCAGGAATGTGACTCAGACTACGGGCTATGATATAAATCAGAATGTGATTTTTGCAGAGGCTTAGCGAAAAAAAAAGGGGGGGACAGATGTCCCCGGGGGCTAGCTTGTTAGGGGCGCCAAAATGTGCTTTGATATTATTTTATTGATAAAAATAACGGGTTTGAGAGATGAAAAATGAGAAGGGGGCGCTTTAAAATGAACCTTGTCCCTGGGCGCAAATCTTGTCCCCGGGCGCCAAACACTCTCGCTACGCCTCTGGATTTTTGTTATACAAATTAAAAGTGAAGGACTATGGACTTCACGAAAAATAAATAATTAAGATATGCCGTTTCCGGAGTTGGGCATGCGTTTATCACCTCGTAATTCACAGCCTCTAGATATATGCTAATTTATTGGTCAACAATTTTTTTACAAGCAAAAGCTTCATTTTTTTTTTAACACTAAGCCCTGTTACTTAAGGGGAGTCCCTAGTCACACGATGGTGTAAAGATGCTTTCTACGATGCTCCATAAGGTCTATACAATTCAGCATCAATTCTTGCTTTTCTTTTTATGGGGTCAAGGAGTTATTATTACATCCATTAAATTAACTACACTATAAAGTAGTGCATTCTTTAATAACCAAAATTTGTGTATTCTTAAACAAAAACTCAAGAAGTATTGGGTTCGAACTTTTACTATGGTTGTTCCCAGTCAAGGGTTTGGGTAATGTTGGAATGGGCGCGTTATAATGAGGAATAGCTGATCTTTTAGGAAGGGGTTAAACTCTTATCTTTAAAAAGCCTCAACCAATCGAAGGATTTTTTTAATGTGGATGTCTACGCAAATTTAGATGTGCCCTCAACAGCTAAGTTACTGCTCTGGAAATAAATCAGATGAGGATTTTAGAAAATCCAATTAGATCTATTTTTTTTAAATCTAGAAAAAGAATTCATGGTTTCGTTTGTTTTGTTTTGTTTATTTGTTCTTGTTTTGTTTTTGTTTTTTTGTTGTTATTGTTTTCGCTGTATTTCTAAGCTGCGACAAATACCTGTAGAGCGGCCAAAAAGGCGCAGCTCATGAGGACTGAGAAGACAGCGAAGCACACTGTGTAGTTCTTCTCACTGAAGTGGGCTTTCCCGCAAGGGTGGTCGGGGAAGGTGGTGGAGTGATCCAGTGCCATGCCAACGAAGAACATGGCGAGCCCCCAGCCTGTTGATGAAAATGAAGTACATTGAACTCAATTAAAATGAAAAATTACATTTTTTAACCAATGGTTCTCGGCAGTTTTGATTTGTTTGATAAGGCTCCTTAATATTGGAGGACATCTTAAGTTGAGAAAATACGGTACCGCTACAAATTATATCGTAAGCCCAGGGGGGGGGGGGGGGGGGGGGGGGGGGGGGGGGGGGGGGGTTTCGCCCATAGCGATACATTTTTTTCTCTATATAGTGGTGGGTGATACTGGTGGCCAAGTCCAGGGAAATAAAGCGATTTGAGGGATTAAAATACGCTTGTCATTATAATAATTTCATTTTACCATTAATAACTACTCATAATTATGAGATAATCAAACTATTACAAGACTGACCACTTTTTAATCAGTGTATTTAGCTTTTAATTCTGACCCAGTTAAATAGAATTAGTGGGATTTTTTTTTAAAATATTTATTTTATTTTATTTATTTATTTATTTTTTTGGGGGGGTGGTGCGAATGGACCAAACAATCTTTCAACTAAGACAATTAAATGTCAAAGGTCGGTAGTGACGAGCTATTTCCTGTTTATAACGTTGGGTGACATGCACTAACAAGCCCACCGAGCGCCTGTGTGACAGCTGTCATTAATATTCCGGTATCCTAAAAACTAACAAAAAAATGTTGCTCTATCCTTTAACCTTCCTCGTCGCACAAAAGTTCAGTCAAAACTGTTCTAAGCAGCCATTTCATAAAGATAAAAAGAATACCTTTACATACAGCCGCTGGGATTTTATGCATGAATTTGTAAGTACCATTTCTTATTAGTCAAGTTCATCTAGCTATTTAATATATAAAGTATAATTTAATTTTTTTATTCTTTTTATTTATTTTTTAATATTTTTGTATGTCTCTCCTTAGGATTTGTTGCACACCCAAAAAAAAACGTTGCTATTAGTGGATGTCGGTGAAATATTGACATCAATTTATGAACCAGATCTAATGAACCGGCTTTCGTGATTAGTAACACACTTTAGCTCGTTGTTTCCCAACGTGGGCCCCACAAGGGGGGGGGGGGGGGGGGGGGGCAATTCGAAAATGAGTTGTCTAGAAGTTGAAAACCAACCGCTTGAGGCGCATTGCAAGGCCTAACATAGTTTCAAACATTAAATAAAAAATATGGAAAAAGGACAACCTTAAAGTCTCTGTTTACTGCTCATACTGCAGCTGCAAATCGTACGCTTGAGACTACCTATAAAATATCTTTACTCATAGCTAAATCTGGGAAAATATCATACTATAGGAGAGAATTCAATCAAACCATCAATATCAGCATTTCTTAAAACTGGTCTGGAAAAAGACGACAAAGACGTGAACGCTGTGACACTCAGTAACAATACTGTTATCAAATATATATATATATATATATATAATAGATTGAATGAGTGAAGATTTTGAAATGCAACTTGTTGAAAAGCTGAAAACAAAATAATTGTCTGTGCAAATGAATCAATTTTAAGAGACAGAGAGGCCTTTCTGATAACTTAAGATATATTGATAAAGGAGATGTTGCTGAAGAATTTTTTTATTATTTTTTTTTGGAAATCATTAGAAAGCACCACTACTGCCAAAGGTATATACATGTATAATGAGCTAAAGAATAACTTAGATGTCAATAATATACCAAATAAAAAATTAAATAGAATATCTTGTGCTGCAGATGGTGCTCCTGGTGTGATGTGCAAAGAAATGGCTGCTTTAAAATGATAAAATAATGAATAATAAATGAAATGATAAATAATTAAAACATTTGAGAAAATCGTTCATTTTGCACTTGAATGACAGTCCTCCACTATATGTTTTAAAAATTTACTTATTGTGTTTCCTTGAAAATTTCTTCGTAAATCCGATTCATTCCTAAGCCTTCCTTTTTCCTTATTCTGAAAATCTTTCATTTCGTTTTCAATTAGTGAGATTCAATTCAATGCTTGAATATAAAATGTGTGTAATATATATATATATATTTATATATATATATATATATATTATATATATGGGGTCATAGGAATTTTAGAAAGGCTTATGTGGGAAACGTCACAAAAAAAAAAGGTTTGGGAAACACTGCTTATATATATTAAGAGATAAAATACATTTCTAAAGTTAAAAATATATTCATACAAACTTTTTACATTAAAAGGTTTTATGGAAATGGTGAAAAAAGGAAATTGCATTTAAGCATTCACACTTTATTTGTTCTTTATATGAGATAATAATAAAATCATGCTGTGCTCATAAAGACACTGCTTTCGTGGGATATGTCTAAGACAGTGAGTTGGATAAGGAACTGAGTTGGATAAGAAACTGAGTTGGATAAGAAAGTGAGCTGGATAAGAAACTGAGTTGGATAAGAAACTGAGTTGGATAAGAAACTGAGTTGGATAAGAAAGTGAGTAGCCTTTAAAAACACTGCTTTCATGGATATGTCAAGGAGAGTGAATTATCGGGCTGACCTCCTGATTACATAGCAATATTACATATGCCGACAGTTACTTAAGTCAGGTTTCTTTCATGAGATGTCCAGCATTTCACCTCGCCGAACAATGTCCATTTTTTCCCATCACCTTTATCCCATTACCATTTGACATCCCATAATTTTATTGGTTAGTCCCATTTGATCAAACGTATTGCTATAGCTGGAGAGAAAATTGTTTATACTTCTTAGTGCATGTCTATAACAAAGTGGTCGCTTTAAAAGCGTGTGTTCCTTCTTGTCGATTTTAAACTTATCTTTTTTTGTTAATTGAACCTCCATCCGGTCTGCCTGCATTATTCACATCTGAACAGCTGCGCTAAGTAAGCGTACGTCTTTAACAAACAAAAACTCCGGAAACGAAACCAACAGCCTCATAGTTCTTTGTGATACAATAATTTCATTCACCATTCAAACATCATTCCAGCATCATTCAAGCATCATTCAAACATCATTCAAACATTCAAATATCATTCAAGCATCATTCAAACATCATTCAAGCATCATTCAAGGATCATTCAAACATCATTAAATCACTCAAACATCATTCAAATATCATTCAAGCATCATTCAAACAGCATTCAAACAACATTCAAACATCATTCAAGCATCATTCAAACTTCATTAAATCATTCAAACATCATTCAAACATCATTCAAACATCATTCAAACATCATTCAAACATCATTCAAACACCATTCAAATATCATTCAAGCATCATTCAAACATCATTCAAACATCATTCAAACCTCATCCAAATATCATTCAAGCATCATTCAAACATCATTCAAACATCATTCAAACATCATTCAAACCTCATTCAAACATCATTCAAACAAACATCATTCACACAAACATCAGTCAAACATCCAGAGTTTTTCTGTAAACGCGATCACCAACAAAGCCCTGATAAGTGCACATCAATCATTCATATGGTCGCTATGCAATCCCAAGATAACACATTTTTTACCTTCCAATAATTCTGTTGACAACTTCAGAATTTGTACACTTTTTATTTCTTTTCACTCAAACAACTCCAAAATAACTCAACTAAAAATAGCTAAATTATTTTTTTTTAATAAAGAAAAGAAAAACAGCAATAAATTTTCCTTTCAGAAAATCAATTAAATGCAAACCAGTGCAGACACCATCCCCCTCCTCCATTACCCATTACCCTGACGCCCCAACCCTCCTCCCCACACAATTTATCACTTACCCGCTAAGATGCGGGAGTTGGTAGAAAGTGTTTCAAACTGGAGGGATGCATTCAACAAACGGGCCAATGTTCTTTTTGTGGGTGGGGGCGAGGGGGTGTGGGTGGGGGGCAGGGTGCTTGGGGTATGGGGGGTGAGCTTGAAACATTTTTAGGCACGGTAAACACGGGCGTCGAGCAATCGATACCAACTAGTTATCGATCCCGCCCAGTAAAGGTTAGGTGCCGTTAGCACCGTACTCTGTGGTTCCACCATCGGAGAATCGACCTACTCAACAGTTCGCAATGTACACCCATACTTTCTTCTTCCATGTAATGTCTAATGTATCTATACGATTGTAGACCCACGGGCCTATTGGCGATCCCACGTAAGAAAATAACACAATTTTATACTTTTTAAAACATCTTTATATATAAAGGGGGACATTAATAAATGAGATAAATTATAATAAAACATAAGAAAATATTAACTTCGTAGGATATCTTATAATTTTCAGGAATACATATATTTTGTTGTGTTGTTGTTGTTTTTTGTCGGGGGGGGGGGGGGGGGTTTTTGGGGGGGGGGGGGGGGGAGATTTTTCTCCGTATCTCTCGTTCCTCCGCCAACTGTGAACCACTCCTTTGACCCTGTCGAGATGCAGATATTCTTTAGCTCAAGGGCAACAGGATTTTTAGCTTGGTCAAATCTAATCGACTAGACCTCCAGCTCCGTGGATGAAAGTTTGTGTTGTGTATATGTGCATTCCTTATATTTCTAATATGAGACACGTGGTCATTATGAGGAAAATACCATTCTTCAGACTCTTACTCCATTACAATTAATAACAAGTCCGTCGACTTGCATTTTTATGATAGAATTTGTTTTTGTTTTTCAAGACCTGCACAAACTTTAACCTACATCTAGCACCTTTCAAAGTCATCTCCCCTTATATTTAACCAATATTTTTTTTTACCCTAGGAAGTTTGCCAATACCCAAAGGGAAATAAGCAGAACCTAATAAAGCATAACTAAATCTCTGTGTGACGATTTCTGGCAACGAAGTGGTTATTCGTACCCGGGTACCAGAAGTGAGAGGTTGGGATTAAACAAAAATATTTAAAATATTATTGTTGGGTACGTAAGACAAAATGAGGTATCAAATGAAAGATAATTGAATGGATTATTTGTTTGTAAACTTACTTCTTCAGTTTAGCCAAAATAAACTACCACAAATGACATCAGGTGGGATTTAGTCTAAAGAGACCCGTGTCCGAATAGCGGCTATAGTTTTTTTAATCCTAACTCAAGTAAAGTGAAAGCTTTTAAAAGGGGAGAGAACTGTGAATATTTCTTCAGTAAGTCTTTTCATGAGATAGTGTTGTTGTTGTTTATTTAATGCAAATGAGCTGAAAAAAAATGTTTGGCTGAACCTAAACCTGAACAAATGAGGCAACAAAGCAACATTCTTTTGCTGCGTCCCTTTTTCAGGTTTTCCCATACTTTGTTTGGTTAATTTCCTTTTACCTAACCTAATTGCAGTCTCTCTCTCTCTCCCCCCCCCCCCTTTATCAACATCTTTTTATTTTAGTCAGTTTTATTGAAGACATTTTCTTATAACACTGAACAAATGAGGCAACAAAGCAACATTCTTTTGCTGCGTCCCTTTTTTAGGTTTTTCCCTATTTTGTTTGGTTTATTTCCTTTTACCCAACCTAATTTCAGTCTCTCTCTCTCTCCCCCCCCCCCTTTATCAACATCTTTTTATTTTAGTCAGTTTTATTGAAGACATTTTCTTATAACATTAGAGATATAACTACTTATCAACAAAAAAAAAAAGGGCATTAAAGGAGAATGTGCATTTGAGGGCATGGCCCATTTTATGACTTTATATTAAAATGGTTTTACTTATTTATCAATACAAACATCTCCACAAAAACTAAGCAGACATATCGTTACTTCGCTTCCCACGGGGACCGAAAGCAATCACTCCGTGTTTACCTAGTGATCCAAACATCCTCTGTCGGCCATAGTTCTGTGTGTCCTCCCCTAGGAACGACAGCGTCACCGAATCGGCGAACGTGATGGCGGGCGCGCTGAAGAACTCCCCGATGATGACCAGCAGCAGGAGGGTAAAGAACGCTTGGGCCACCTCGTCCTCCTGCGTGGGGGGGGGGGGGCGGGGACATATGAGAGGCGCACTAAAACATAGACTTGTAACATTTGGCATTTAATGGAGTGCCAGGGCGGTGGGTGTGGAGGATCAGTTCATTCCTGTGTGCCCTTTCTCCCCCCCCCCCAACCCCCAAACCCCCAAGAACCAATAATATTTTGCGCAATTTGTTAATTATGTGACTATGCATGCGTTTAAAGGACAAACAGGGCTGTTTCGTGTAGTGTTCTAAGTCGCCATTTCTTTTGCGATCCGGAATCGCTTAGAGTCATCGATTTCATCTAGTCGATGTGTATTACTTTTAAATTTTAAATGGTTAAATCAACTTTAAACGATGGTTCGCAAAAACAAAACACTAATAAAATCTGATATGAACTGATATTTCTAAATATTGTTCATTTATTTTGAATGAACAGCTGTTCATTTTGATCTAGTTTTTTCATTGTGTAGCTTAGGCCATTTGTTTCAACGTCTTTTATTAGGAACCAATTCTATGTATTCCCTGTCACTTTATGTATTCCTTGTCACTTTATGTATTCCTTGTCACTTTATGTATTCCTTGTCACTTAATGTTTTCCTTGTCACTTAATGTATGTCCTGTCACTTTATGTATTCCCTGTCACTTTATGTATTCCCTGTCACTTTATGTATTCCTTGTCACTTTATGTATTCCCTGTCACTTTATGTATTCCTTGTCACTTTATGTATTCCCTGTCACTTTATGTATTCCCGGTCACTTCATGTACTCACTATCCCTTTATACATTCCCTGTCACGTTATATATTCCTTGTCACTATATGTATTCCCTGTCACTTTATGCATTTCCTATCACTTTATTTACTCCCTGTCGCTTTATGTATTCCCTGTCACTTTATGCATTCCCTGTCATTTTATGCATTCCCTGTAACTTTTTTGTATTCCTGTTTTTTTTTATGTATTCCCTTTCACTTAATATATTCCCTGTCACTTTATATATTCCTGTCATTTTATATAATTCCTGTCACTTTATATAACCTGCGTACAAAAAAATGCTTCTTGTAAAGTATATTTTTAACCCAAAAATAATAAATTTTTTTGTTCCTAAGGCGTTCTTTTAATATGATTCTTTAAAAAAGCATTCAATGTTCAGTATACCCAGAGGGAAAAAAACACGTTTTTTTTATACCTGTGAATTTTTTCATATGGATAGCACACTCTGTGTAGCATCTTGTTTGTTTTCTCTTCTTTAAGAGCTAGTTGCATAATATTGTTTTTATTTTTTGTAAATGTGCTTCCGAAATCCATTGTATGTTGACTCCCTTTACTGCAAGTGTTGTTTGTTTTGTTTTTTAAAGAGCTATTTAAAAATTTTTATCCTTACAGACTTACCAAGTAAACAATAGCGGAATGTTTGTTGAAAACCAAACCCTTCATGTTTGTACCATTGGCATAGGCGATCTTGCTGGGATCCACGTACGGACTTCGTTTGTACCGGTGGTTTGTATAATAGGGACTCATGTCATCTGGGAGGACAATGACGTCATGATCCAACGTACTATATCCACCCATCACATCCGGGTCACTGATTCTGGCGCCAGCGGTTAAGATATCCACGGTCGTCGGTTCGAGAAAAGGAAACTTGATATCCTGTGTCGGATCGTTAAGTTGGTGGAGATCTGAACGATGAGCATAGCCGTGGTGGGTGCGTCCCATCACGTGGTGAGGAGCCATGTTGAAATCCGTCACGGTACTGGCGTCACGGCGCCTGCGGGTGAGCGGAACCTCCAGGAGGTTGTGGGTGCCGTTGAAGGTTATGCATTTGTGAGCAGGGGGGCGAACGAACGCGATGGCGAGGGTGAAGACGATCCAGCAGACGAGAGAAAACAGCAGCATTTCTTTACCCCTTCGCCATTTATCCGCAAGCCCGCCCCAGAAGGGGGCGCTGAGGAACTCGATGAAGGGCCTGAATCCGATTAGGACACCGCTCTGCGACGCGTTCATCCCCAGCTGCTTGAAATAGATGGCGAGCAGCGGGAAGAGAGAACCGAAGGCGCCGAAGAAAAAAAAGTAGAAGAGCTTGCAGAAGAGCAGATCCTTGTTGACGACCGTGAACATGGAGTCGATGAAATCTCTGCTGAAGGGAGACTGCTTCACGCTTTTGGCGGGAAGCTGTCCTTGACCTTGGATCCGTGCTCCATTCGTGGGCGGGCTGGATTTCAACTTTTGAAACGGGTCGAATTCCGCCTCCGGGCGACTGTCGCCCTCGTAGTGGTCGTCCATCTTTTAGACAAGTTTTTTAACTATACCTAGAATATTAAAAGAATTAACAGAGTATATTATGCGATATGTGAATGTCAATATGCATTTCATGGTTAGGACTTACGGATAAATCTATATAAGGTACTCAGGAGGAGGAATGTGGATTTAATATTGCACAAATAAGAAAGTACTTCTATATTTTCTTCAAACAGAATTCATTTATTTTATTTTATTTTTTTTAATCTAGATAATCTAACGTTTTAAAAAATAAAATGTCTTCATACAAATAATGTTCGTTAAGTTTAAATGGCTTGGACTTTGCTGTTGGTGAGCAAAATTAGAAACTGGGAAATGTGTTTGCTTGAGTGTGGAAACATTCGGTTTGATCACGTGAATGAGTGACTCGGTGAATCTTTTAATAGACAAATTTTTTCTTGTAGTAGCCATTAATGGGCCAGTGCCATATACATAAAAACGATTCGTGTGACATATCAAAGTTGATTTAATTGTAAATAATGTCATTACCAAGACCAATTAATAGGCTTAGCTTTGCCTATTAATGTAGTTAGAAGACAGAATGGCCAAAAACCTTGACCAGAATGAATATGTATTTGCGCGATCATGTTCAATAACTACTCACACTGGTTGACATCGCCGGAGGCTTCAGGTACCCAGACCAAATCGAATTACAAGGACGTTTCCCTCCCCGCTCCACTATGTGTTCCAAGTAGATAAAAAGTTATTTGAAATCATTAATGTCTCTGGTTCGATTGAGTGGACTAACAAGATTGTCAGTTGAAAAGATACAACTAACTATGGATAACATATTGTAGTGCTTGCCACCACGAAAGTAAGTAAAGTGATTTTTTTTGTTTTTGCTTCAAAGCCATCGTGAGTATTTGCTATATACAATTTGAATTTTTGCTTGTTTTTTTATTGATGATTACAATTATTTTTTTTTTAGTTTTTTTTTTTTAACATTGCGTCAACGCCCCCACAATTTTTTGTATTTTCCATGGCTCCTCACCGCCTGTCGCCGGCCTTGACCTATGTTCTAAAAAAAAGGGACAGGACATAATCGAAATTGATATAGCTTGAATAAATGTTATGTTATCATTTAAAAAGTCATAATTTTCGTTAACAAACTTAGACCCAATAATGTGTAACTTAATTGTCCTCATCTGAGAAATCTCGAGGAGATTATATTTAGGCCTTAGTATAATCAAAGTCATCGCTCATACCACCATTTTATTTTATTTTTTTATATCACAATTGAAATATATTTTTAATATATACTTTTTTTTTTTTTTTTTTTTTTTTATTTTTTATTTTTTTTTTTTTTTTTTTTTTTTTTTTTGGGGGGGGGGGGGGTGCATTGTAGAACATATACATTTATTTATAACCACTAACAATATTTATAACTTCTGAATTCAATTTTTTTTTTTTATTATATGTTAAAATTTTTTTTTATATTTTATTTTTTTTTTTTGGGGGGGGGGGGGGCATTGTAGAACATATACATTTATTTATAACCACTAACAATATTTATAACTTCTGAATTCAGTAACCATGCCTCCGTAATAAATAGCAGTTCTCTGAGATTACTGAGCGCCAAGGACTAACTTCAACGCTCACGAAAGAGAAGCTTCTCAACTGTAAATACTGCTGCTCGTGGATTATTATGGCATTGGCCTTGATGTCTGAATGGTGTCATACTTGTTAGGAAATTGATTTTTTTTTTTTTAAATTTCAACCAACCTCTTCAGAAAGACTCGTAAGACACAAAAATTATCCTGGGGAATGAATTAAATTCAATATCATTTTAATTCACCTCACGACTTGATGTACGTAGTACGTACGACTACAGGTTCCAACTTGAATCCAGGTGTTTGACTATCACACACCAACTATATAAAGTGTGGCATTTAAAATTCAAAACTTCTAAACATCTGCAGTGGCAAAGGACCAAATTCCAAAATGGAAAAGTTAATCTTTTTTTCTATTTTAGTAATGTTTTATTGATTTCTATGTGGCTTTTTCTAACTCCGATCTCCACATTTAGAGGAACCAATCTCCACAATTCGACATTTTCATACATTTTTTTATCGATCTGAGACTTGCTCTTTTTAAATCCTTTATAATAATTTCGCTGACTGGCTGGCTGGCAAGCAAAATCTTCGGACAGCTAATTGAGCACATAGACTCATTTCACATTTTCAGCCCCATCCCCCAACTCCAACCCCTAAAATCAGTTTTTCCTGTTTTTAAAGGGAAAATACAATAAAATTCCCGATAACTACGCTAAGTTCGATTTTTTTTAAAAAGTATATATCGCAAGTGTGCGTTTTGTGGTAACATTTTTTGTTCCAAAATTGTTGGTGAAAACAAGGGGGGGGGGGGGGGGGGGGGGGGGGGGGGTTAGTAGCAGATTACTAAAGTTCAGGGGGGCGTGACAAAAAATATGCGGTTGCGAGCTTTGGGGGCGTGGGCATTAATTGGGATTCCTTTAAAGTGCATTACTTGTATCCATGTTTTGTCGAATTTTTAGCCCCACCCTCCATTGCTCACTATTACATTCTATAAAGGATTTATACGGAAAAACTTTGTGTTTAAGGTTCGTTGAATTACAACTTAAAAAGATATGGTGAACACTATGACCATGAATTGCGAATCCCTCTTGCCTTCTGCCAAGAGATGGGAATCGAACCAAACACACCAAACTCGAACACTGCTGACGTCCGAAACCGAAGTTTAACGTCGCTGAGTTACAAAAAATCCGAAAAATCCTAACGCAAACTTGTTAGGACTGACATTGTTTTACTAGCGTGCACATCATTACTTTAGATTGAAATACTAGAAAATCCAATCGCAGAAAGTGTTGTTTTTTATTGGCGTTTTATATATATACATAATTTTTTTTTAATTTTTTTTTTTGTTTGTTTGCTATTTGATGATTTAAGGAAATTTCTCGCCCTTACTTCTTTTCTAGGAACGCCCTAACGCTACGCTGTATTTATGAAATTATGTGTCACAACTTTGCTACCGGTTTATGATAAGGTCTAACGAAATACAATACCTCGATCAATGGACCCACTTCATGTACACTTTATTTTTAAACTGAAATCCCTACATAAATTGAACAATAACATCGTTGGCCAAAAACAAAACAAAAAATAGTAGTAGTAAGCCTTTTTCACTAAAGTAGAACGATGATATCTTAACTATGCAGTATTGGGACAGCGTTTGAAATTCCTTTGTGTACAAACCTTGGTCAAGGTCGCTGGCAAAACACTACGTTCCTGCTCTACACCCTGTAGGCTATCTCGCCCATTGCTGGAGTCCTCTTTTGTAATCCCTGGCCACAACAGAACACTAACATCGACAGTCCCTGGTCAAAACATAGCAGTGTTATGTAGACCCACCACCCTGGAGTGAGCACTGAACGTCCCCAGTCGTTAACGACAACACATCATGACGGGTCATTGCCTGCCGACATCGGTCTTCGGGGTGTGTGTGTGTGGGGGGGGGGGTTGATTTGTCCGCACTGGCGAATAGGAAAAGTAAAAAGGCGGGGGTGTAACGGAAGGTTTATACCGACACTGCTGGAGCCGCGGCTGGAGACCAGATCGATACTCACAGCATTGATTGGACTCTGCGCCAGGATTGCTGTCTTAGGCATCCTCATAGTTCTAGCAACAATTTAGTGGGAACTTGTCGGGTGGACAACTGATTTCTAACACAATTTAGTGCGACCAATAGTTTCTAGCACAATTTAGTGAAAACAATTTTGGTATACCACTTATCTAGCACAATTAAGTGGGTACTCGTTTATTTTTACAACTATTTTCTAGCACAATTTAGTGGGAGTTTGGTCTACCACTTGTCTCTAGCACAATTTAGTGAGAACTTGTTTGGTCTACCATTTGTCTCTAGCGCAATTTAGACTTTGGTCTACCGCTTATCTCTATCACAATTTAGTGGGGACTCGTTTGGTCTGCCACTCATTTCTTGTTCCCTTGGTTTTAACCAATTGAAATGTCCCGTGGTAAGTTTTGATATAAATCAGGGAACCTCAAGCTTTTAATCAGCGGGCTGGTTCACTGTCCCTCAGATGCTGTTAGTGGATGGACTAAGCTTGAAAAATATATGCACAATCTTCTCCACACATATCTTATTTGTAGTTCAACTTCAAGTTCTTACCATGGCAATTGAAACTATGGTTATGCTTTTGGTTAATTATAGGCCTGATTCTGGCTAACAATAGGCCTGCTATTTGGCTACATATAGGCCTGCTTTTGGCTGCCCCTAGGCCTGCTTTTGGCTACCTATATTATATAGGTCTGCTTTTGGATAAATACGTAATAATTTCCCGTTCTGTATTTGCCACTGCTAACCGGGTACAGGACAGTTGGTGGGCCGGATCCAACCCACGGGCCATATTTTTGACGACCCCTTGATCTAAAGCTTCCAGACCTAACCCTAACACACTTTCCCACTGGTGTAACTAATGCCCTAAAGATACCTTCTACCTGTGAGGGGATGGGCCCCGAATGTTATCCCAAATTGAAGCCCACAACCCAGCCCGAACTTTCCCATAGCCCGTATTCAGCACAATTACAAATGGAAGTCATATAAAATCAAATTGGCAAATAGTTCTACTTCTACTACCGCTATTTTAAGGCTAGTGATGCTTTCTGGTGAACGAGGGGGTGGAGTGACAGCGTGTACTTAGGGACCTTTTTAAGTGACTTCTTAAGTGGCCAGAGTTTTAGATAATTTCAATTGGATTTTGCCACTCTCAAAAAAAGGGAAATACATTGCGTTGTGTCGTATTGAAAAAAAAATAATAAATAAATAATGTTGAGTCACGATTTCCACATTATTTTTCCTGTGCAAGCTAAAAATGTGATTAGCTGGTTTGAAGGAATTCGTATCTAAATTCTTCTCAACAAATCGTGATCTATATTTATACTTAATGATTCCCCCCCCCCCCCCCACACACACCACCACCCTCAACCCCCAAGCCCGCACGTTGTAAAGATGGCTGAGTCATACAATCGTGTTGATGCAAACACAGGAAGACATGACTAAAAAAAGAGCAAAACTTTATATATATATATATATATATATATATATATATATATATATATATATATATA